TCACTTGAATGGATGCGGAAAGCAATGTCCCAGAAGGTCTTTGGAGCAACCGCACAAGACTTTGCACGCGGCCCTTTTTCCTAATAGCTAGCCCAACTACATAACTGCTTCCAAATTCAAAACGGAACTGGTTCCAAATCGGGTCCAGGTGTTGGGCATACTGACAGTAGTAGAGGCGAGGAGATAAACTCGGGTATCCTCATCTGCCGTATGCAAGCCAATACTTGCTATCTGTAGAGCAGATTGGAACCTGCCTCCAAACTATAGAAACAGTCTTGACTAGAGCCCAATTCTGTTTCTGCGCCTAGACCTTGCAGCTTTGAGGGCCAGGGGCAGAATTAATAAAACTTTCAGGCTAATCCCAGAGAAGCATCTCAGCGCCAACCGTAGTGACCTTGCCGGAGTTTAGGTACTTGTGGTCCTCCGTCCAGTAGGCCCACACCCGATCGTTACACTTCCACTCTTCTCCGAGTTTGTAGATCTCACTTTTCAAAACTGCACGGCGGTCACCATCATGAGCAACAAATTCGTCCCCGGAGAACTTTCCTTCAAAACCTCTTGTCCTCACTGGCTAATCAGGCTCAATCAGTCAGTTGAAATCGGACACATCAATACGAAAGGAACAAAAGACTGATAAAAGAATGGCAAGGATTCGTATCCCAGTGAATGAGATATTCGCCGCCATATCGTGCCGTCCCGCTCCCAATTCTGACCATTTTATGAATCCAGCCATTCGGGACAGGGCCCTTGTCTCCATCATCAAACTCGACATAGCTCTTCCTGTCACTTGAATGGATGCGGAAAGCAATGTCCCAGAAGGTCTTTGGAGCCACCGCACAAGACTTTGCACACGGCCTTTTTTACTAATAGCTATGCATAGCCCACCTACATAACTGCTTCCAAATTCAAAACGGGAACTGGTTCCAAATCGGGTCCAGGTGTTGGGCATACCTGACAAAGGGTGGTGTAGTAGAGGAGATAAAAACTCGGGTACCGCTCCTTGCAATCAATCTTTACACGTCAAAACCTGGGTTGAAATCACCAAATATATCCAAAAATGACCATGAGGTGGATAATTATGTTTCTATACTTCATGTATCTCTGCAGCTGTGAAGGTGTTTGAGGCACAATGCAAGCGGAGCGTCTCAGCGCCAACAGCAGTGACCTTGCCGGAGTTGAGGTACTTGTTGTCCTTCGTCCAGTAGGCCCACACCCGATCATCACACTTCCATTCTTCTCCGAGTTTGTAGATCTCACTTTTTGAAACTGCACGACGGTCACCATCATGAGCAACAAACTCATCCCCGGAGAACTTTCCTTCAAAACCTCTTGTCCTCACTGGCTACTAACGGCAAAACATGGCAAAACAAATCAGGCTCAATCAGTCAGTTGAAATTGGACACATCAATACGAAAGGAACAAAAGACTGATGAAGAATGGCAAGGATTCGTATCCCAGTGAATGAGATATTCGCCGCCATATCGTGCCCTCTGACTCTGGCTGGCAGCCATGGCTGACAGCAACTTCTTCCGGTCAGGTTCATGCAGTTCTTCAAAGATCTTCGTCACCTCTCCATCTATACTCAGTATATCTCAGTATGTTGTGCAATGTTTGACCGTAAATAACGATGCAACAGGGACTTTGGGCGTGTAAGAGGCTGGGGCATCGGTTTGACGGTATTTTTAATTTTGTTATATAAAGGAAATTAGACTTTCACCTAGAATGTCGGCCCTCAGTCCTCTATCTATCTATTTCAAGACACCAAAACAGCATCTAGTCCCTACTCTTCCGCGCCTCATCGACGGAGGCTCCATGAATTGGTGCCCGGACGATGCTCGCAGCACTGCCCATTGCGACAAGTGTTCACTCTAAAACTGGAACGATTTGGTCGTCCTCTTGAGCAACAGTGGGGCAAAGCTGGAATGCTGTGCTTGACGGGGTCAGATGGGCTTGTGAATGTCTGGGTTTCCAGGCTATTCAAGTTACAGACAACGATCACAAACGAAGCCACAATGGTGGCAGAACTCGAGCCCTTGTGTTTTTTGCCCGTCGGTGGGTGGCTCAGCGGCTTTGATTCCGCATGTGACAAGTCTCCTTCCGATTCAGCAACATGGGAAAACATCAAATCCATCAATTAATATGTAGAAATGCAGATTTCCACGGAATTTATGAGGAATCAGCCTCATCAAACTGGCAGCCACTGGTCCTCTAGGGAGCGACTATTGCAGCATGTCGTCTTCTTGATCCTGATGCGGAAACAAAATACTAACAGCTGTGCTTTGTGTTGGCCTGCCTATTGGACTTAGGGTCTGCCCGATTTCACTGGTTGAAAGGAACCCTTGCAAATGGGATTGTCAGCAAAAGTCTTCGTTTGAGTCTTCTATCGACAGCTTTTCTCAGACTGCAGTTTCCTTTTTGCGGAATCTCTCTTTTGAGTTTTCAACACAATTTTTGGACTTGGACTGGCAGTAATGGACTGTAACAGGTAATGCATGTGTTTATGTGTGTGTTTGTGTGTGTGTGTGTGTCAGCACCTGTATCCAAGGATGTTGCACAACCTAATTCACCTTGAGTGGACCGTCCATCACATGCAGGGGGGCAGTGGACCACTATCACTCACTGCCCAACGAAGAGAGTGAT